TCCTTGCCTCCAGCCACTCCTCATATTCCGCCTCGTTGAAGGGGCTCAGCACGGGGCTGGCCTAAGCAGGCCGGCAAGCATTTTCGCTCCACGCGCATTCTCTTCACGCCTCCTCCTCCACTTCGGGCTTCGGCTCGGCGCCTGTCAGCGTTACCAGTCCGGCCAAGCCGCAAGCGGAGCTTGAGGCCCACGCGCTTCAAGTACCGCGTGTAGCGGCGCGCCCGAGCATGGTCATCTGCCTCCTTGAGCAGCTTCGCCTTGGCCGGCTCGGTGGCGCGGTCCTGTCAGCCCGAGCAAAAGCCACAAGTTGTCAAGGGCGGCTAGCCGTCCTGCATGGTCATTCCGCGGCGTTCCCTCTTCACCGCATTGCGGCGGTTCTTCTTCTCCGCAGCGGTCGCCTGCTTCCTTTCCTCCTTGACTTCCTCGTAGGCAGCCTGTCGCTTCGCCTCCCTCTCCTCCTCTTTTTTGCTCGCCTTAGCCTCCTTCTTGGCCTTCTTCGCCCTCTTCTTTTCCTCCGCCGCCTCCATCTCGCGAGCTGCCTCCAGCTCTTTGGCATTTCTAAGGTCTGCGCGCCTCTGCTTCTGCGCTAGCAGCTTTGCTGCTTTTTCTCGTCGCGCCACCTCATCCTCCCACTCCTGCCAGGCCCTGGACGCGCGAGTCATGCTGTATTGCATGAGTCGCTCGCTGTGCTTGCTGTCGCAAGCTGCCCAGGGGTACCTTGGCCCGTCGGACGCTGCTCCTTCTCTCTCCGCCCCCGCAATCAGTTTTGCGCCACGAGGTCGGCCACATATATCGGGCGGTCTGCCAGGTCAAGGTAGACCTGCGTGCCCGCCTGCCAACGTTCTACGGCGGTATCTTTTTTCGCTCGCGGTCCCGCCTGTAGTTCGGTGAGGATCTTCGCCAGCTCCGCATCATGCACCCGTATGGCTTCCGGGTCCCGGCTGAGGCGGAAAGCAATGTCGCTCACTTTCGCCTCGTACCCGGGGTCCACCTTGCGCAGTGTTAGGCTCTCCGCTCCGCGCTTACTTCTTGTCTCTCTTGTCGCATTGATTAAGCTCCCGGCGCGCCAGCGGTTGCTCTGTTGGAGCTGGGCAGCTGTCGTCTCCACTGCCCGTAGGCTTGGTGGCAAGGACTCGCGACAGCAACCGCACCGGCAGGCCACCACGTTGTGGCAGTCCTGCGCGGTAGCGGCGCTGACGGCCCTCGCGTCTATTCTGCCTTGCCTTCCCTGGCTCCGGCCCGCTTGGTTGCCCCGCAGCTGCCAGGCCGCGCCCGTGGCGGCCCACTAGCTCTGCCGTGTACCGGTTGGCAGCGGGGTAGGCCTCTGCGCAGCCCGCCCTTGAGGGAAAGTTCGGCCTAGTTGGGAGGTTCAGTCAAGCCTAGACGCGCGGTCGCGAAAGCATCTGCTTTTCCGAGCGTCGCGTGAGTGGCGCTGTCGTTCCAAAAACTGAGGGCGGGCAGCGCAGCGAGCCCGAATCAAGCCGAGTCAAATGTCCAAGGATCACGCGAAAATGGCTCCGAAAATTCGAAACAAAGCTTGGCCCTATGATATTTTAACTTCGCCGCGCAAGTGCTGTCGACTTTAGAGAAGAGGGTTGAGCTGAAGCGGGTCTTTCTTTGTGGGCCGCCGACAGTCGAGGCGCGTGGGCGCACAAAATCACAACGCGCGCGGCGGTTTGGGGCGTTGCCCCTAAAAGACTACTTGTTTTCGGCTGCAGCGCCCAAGGCCCCGGCCATCTTTTGAGGCCTGAGGCCGCGCGAGCAAAGCAGTGAGGCGCCCTGCGCCGCTAAGGGCCAGGCTGAGAGCGGATTGCGGGCTGAAAGGCTTTGTTGTGCTATTCGAGCTGAAACAAAGGCAGCCAACAAGTCACGTTGTCCCGCAAAACGGCCTTGTCGCCCTTTGACGGGGCTTGGCCAGTTCCCCTCCGCCTGGGGCCACGACCAGTTCCTCGACCCCGAGGGTTTATTGATGACCCAGGCGGGGGCTCTTCCCCGGGGTCTCCCTGGCCGTGGCTAAAGTGTCTACAAGCGAGGCCAGCCCGGCGTAGCCTCCGCCAGCGGGGTCGGTCGTCTCCCGGCCTCCTCCGTCAGGTCCGGAGTCTAAACCACATGCCCTTTCTTACAAAGCAAGCAACATCATGCAAAATCAAGCAAGAATGCACACAAGCAAAATCATACAACCCAGCAACATCAGGCAAAATCATGCCATGCCAAAAATCAAGCAAAATCGTGCAAAAGCACGCTATTCTTCAGCAACCCGAAAGCCTCTGTTTTCAAGCAAAAATGCAATCAAGATCATGCAAACCAAGCAAAGTCATGCAAAATCACGCCGCGCCAAAACTCATGCAAAATCGTGTAAAAACAAGCTACTCTTCAAAGCCTCTCTCTCAAGCGAAAATACAATCAAGCAAGATCACGCCAACCTAGCAACATCATGTAAAATCACGCCGTCCAAACTCTGCAAAATCGTGCAAAAACCAGCTATGCTGCAGACGCCCGAGGCCCCCCTCCCCTGTAAAAGTTAGCCGAAATCTCTGGCCCGCTTCTTCGGCGCCGGTGTTTGGGTCGGTCGCCGCACGCGTGTCGCACTGCCTCGCCAGGCGCTCGCAAGCAAAAATGCGATCAAGCAAGATCATGCAAACCCAGCAAAATCATGCGCAATCATGCCACGCAAAAAAATCATGAAAATCGTGCAAAAACCAGCCACTCTTTAGAGGCCCAAATGCCCCTTCCTTCTCCGCCGCCAGTCGCTCCTTCCACTCCGCCGGTCGCCGTATTGCGCTGCCTCGCCAGGCGCTCTCAGGCAAAAATGCACTCGAAATGCAAAATCACGCGATGCAAAAAATCATGCAAAATCGTGCAAAAACAGGCCGTTCTTCAGCGGCCCGAAGGCCCCTTCTCTCTCAAGCCAAAATGCGATCAAGCAAGATCATGCAAACCAAGTAAAATCATGGAAAATCACGCCGCGCCAAAAATCATGCAACAACAAAACAAGCTATTCCACCTCCGCCGGTCTTAGGGACGGTCGCCCCGCGTATTGCACTGCCTCGCCAGGCGCTCTCAAGCAACAATGCGATCAAGCAAGATCCTGCGAACCAAGCAAAGTCATGCCATGCAAAAAATCATGCAAATCGTGCAAAAACAAGCCATTCTCTCGACGCCCGAATACCCTCTTCCTTCTCCGCCGCCAGTCCTTGGGCCCACGCTCCTTCCATTCTGCCGGTGTTAGGGACGGTCGCCCCGCGTATTGTGCTGCCTCGCCAGGCGCTCTCAAGCAAAAATGCAATTAAAATGCTTTTAGCTCAAGAATCAATTTACAAAAGCCGGCCGCTTTTTTTTTCAAGGTAAGGTCCAATGGCCGGCGAAGGCTGAAATTCACCCCGCTGCGCTTTGGGCAGCGGGCGGAAGCCCCGCGAGGAAGAGACTTTCGCCTCTGCGCGGTCTGCGGCGCGGATTCCTTCCGGGAGGCTGCGAAGGGGCGCGGGGCGGCGAGGTTTTCGAACCAGCTGGCCAAGCTGGACCTCGGCATCTTCGGGGCGGCCGCGGACGAGGCCCAATGGCTTGCGGCGAGCTTCGCAAGGTCCGGACGGCCGGTTCTGAGCGCCGAAAACGGCGGACGGCCGCTCCCCCCAGACCGAAAAACGGCGGACGGCCGTCCCCCCGCCAGCGGACGGCCACCCCCGGAGTTGGCAGCGCTAAGCCCGACGAACGGCCACTTTTGGGGGCGGCCGTCCGCGGCTGGGGGGGCGGCCGTCCGTGGAGGCTGCGGGCGGACGGCCGCCCCTGCGGGCGGCCGTCCGCCAAAACCCGGTTTCGGGTGCTTCGCGGCTGCCCATGGCACCCTGGATCGCGGAGGCTTGCGCGGACTTTGCTCGGGACTAGCGCAGGGCTAGCGTTTCGCAAGAGTTTTGCGGCGGGCCGCGCGTGGGCTCGCGGCCCGCGGCCTCCGGTTTTCGGAGGCCTTGAGCGTTAAGTCGGGCGTCGCTAAAACAAAACATTAAGTGAACATGTCACTGGGGCGACGTTGCGGGATTCCTTCGTCTGGAATTTTTTACTTTGCGCTTTTTTGGGACGGAGACGCGAGAAAAAAATCCAGACGAAAGCATCGCGCCGATCGCCTGCCCCGTTGAACTTCAAGTGATCAAAAGAGTGTGTAGGACTGTTCCCTTTCAAACTCGACAATGTTGTCCTTCTCGCCGGATTTCTGCCCCTGTCAGGACTGCTTGCAGCGAGCTTGCGGGCGCCGCGGGCGCAGACGCCGCGGGCGACGGCAGCGTGCTGCCGGCAGGACTTCCGAGCGATCAAACTGCGGTTGCTTTCGCGGTTATCGTTGTCGGTCGTTGTTGTCGTTGTCGGGGGGCCGCCCGCCCTTGGGCAAGCTTGCCGCTTTGGTTGCAACAGCGCTGCAGACTTTTGACTTCGCATCTTTCGGCGGCACTGGCGCTTTGGGCAGGGAAGCAATAGGATGACAGTCAATGAGCTTTCGTGACAGCTGCTATATGGGTTTCCTTGTTGGTTTGGTCGACTTGGTTGGTTGGTCACTCGCCGCTGCAGGACCGGCGGGCGGCTGGAGAACACGGCCCGCTTGGGGATGGCCGTTGGAGAGAGCGCCCTAGGCCCCGGAGCGGGATGGCTTAGCTGCGGACAAGATCTCTCCTTGCCGGACGTTTTCTTTGGCAAGGGCTCTTGCTGGGCGTCTTCCACGGCCAATCCGGCGGGCGGCTGTGAAGGGGCCGGCCGTCTCACTTTTTTCTCTGTCCATCGTTGGCTTGACCGTGACTTTTTCAGTCTTTGCGGGCAAAAGAAAAATATCGGTTTCTCATGTTGGCTGGACAGTGACTGTTTGGCTTCACAGCTTTCCCGTAACAAAAAACCGACGTGGTCCAAATCAACAATTCTTCCACTTTTAGCGCCTGGCCTGTAGTGGATCAAACTTGCTGGCCTTCGTGACTCCCTCTATCCTCTGACCATGCCGAGCTACAAGAAGCCGTGGCGCGCAGCTGCCAAGAAGGAGAGCGCGCCCAAGCGCAGCCGCCCGGAGCCGTCGGAGAGGTTTCCGAAATGGATCCTGGCGCCGTACGCTAGCCCTAAAGGGTCGCCCTTCTACCTCAAAGGCGACGCGGAGGCAAGGTTGCTGGACACCGCGAATGCCGGGAATTCCGAGGTGGCCGCGCTCCGTCTGGGCATCGCGGTTTCAGAGGCTGCGGGCGTGGGGGAAATGGCTGCCGGCCTTTTTGCTGACGAGGCCGAGGGGGAAGGGAGCGTGAAGCAGCTCCTGGAGCCGTTCATCGCATGGATGGGCGAGCCGGAGGGGGCGGCTTACGTGGAGGCGTGCCGCCACCTGAATGACAAGAACGAGGATGCGACGAGGGGGCCGGCCTCCGTCTCGGCGGCGGTGACGGACTGGGTCGCAGGCATCGCAGCCCTTGGGCGGGACCACGAGCGGGACATCCGCAAACTTGCCCAGATCGCCGCCCGGCTGTACCTCTTCGCGGCGGACACCTTGGAACAAATTGCTTGGGTGGAAAATCAGGACGTCCTGGCGAAGGCCGCGGACAAGAGTGCGGAGAACGCCGAGCTGGCTGCCGTTGGCAAGTGGCTCTCCAAGCCATCCGGCGATGGCCACCTGGCGAAGGCGATCGCCGCCGTGTATTCGAAAGAGGTGTTGAAAGGCAGGGCCGGGGGCAAGAAGGAGAAGCCTGTCCGTATGCGCCAGTCCTCTTCGCCAGACGCGACCGCTCGTCCGCGAAGGCGAAGAAGGCGAAGAAGCGAGCAAAGAAGGACAAGAAGGCCAAGAAGGAGACGAAGAAGGGCGACAAGAAGGCAGGCGAGACGGCGAAGAAGAGGAACGCGCCCGCCAAGCGGCCGGAAGAGGCGAAGAGGGCTGGCGCCGCGGCGGGCGAGAAGCGCAAGGCCTGCACGGTCGAAGACTCCAGCCAGGGCTCGCCAAGCAACGCTGTCCTCTCGGCTGCGTTGATCGATTGGAGCGCGGCGGAGTGCGTGGCGGCGCAAGAGGCTTGGCAGGACTACGGGGCGCGCCTCCAGTCCGGCAACACCGACCTTGCAGAGTACGCCGTCATGGTTGGCATGGTGCCCCAGCCTGTCCGAGAAGCGTTCGGCCTCAACATCTCGCCGGAGCGCGTCAGGCTGCCGTCCGCCGCACAGGCGGCCCAGATTGTGGAGTGTGTGGCGGCCCTGCTTGCGGAGGCGGACAAGCTCTTCGCCGAAGCCGGGGCTTAGGCGGGCAAAGCTCGCGCATTTTGGCGCCGACGGCGCCGAGTTCTAAAGGCGACGCGGCAATGCGAGGGAGGGTCCCTGGCGCCGAGGTTTAGAGGCGACAGGCGGTCTCGCAGGCACGCAGCGAGATTCGAGATGCAAAGGAGAAAAAAAGCACGAGGTGAGCTGTCGGTCGAGGCCCGCCCCAAAAGAATTTGAGGCCAGTTTTCTTGCGCCAGTCCAGTCGGGGCCGGCTGCTGAAATCTTGCGACGCAGCTTGATTGATTCGAGCGTAGAACCTTTGATTCGCGCGACTCCGCCATGGCTCCTGCGCGCAAGCGTCCAGCGGCCGCCGCGGCGGCTCCGCCGGCGAAGCGCCGCCTGCGAGGCAAGCAGGCCGCTCCGGCCTGGGATGAGGACCTGCCCGCGAAGTTCCGAGCCTGGCGCGGCGGCGTCGTCTACGCCGCCTACGCGGAGCTGGGCGGTAGCCGGCCCTGGCAGGAAGTCTCCCTGGAGCTGTCGGCGGCGGAGCCCAGCCCGGTGAAGTACGCTTGCGCGGCCGGGGCCTACATCGACGGCTTGCTAGCCGCCGAGGGCCACGGCCCGATCCCTGGAGGCCCTCTTCTTCTACAAGAATGGACGGCCGCCTTGACAGTCGCTGGCTGGCGAGAAGGCGGGCTTTGCGGCCAAGCGCCCCCTCGCCGCCTGAAGCGGCCCGCGACGTCGGGCCGGCGCTTCTGCCACGGCCGCCTTGGAGCGCCCTGTTGCTACTCGACAGCAGAGAGCGGGGCCCGGGCTTGCTACCAGGGACAGACGAAGCACTGCCCGTGGTGCAGCGAGGACTTGCTGGCCAAGGGGATGGCGACCGCCAATGGTCAGCGGATGTTTGCGCGCGCCCTGGCCTTCTTCTGGAAAAACGACAAGGACATCTTCCGGGCGGCTCGCGCTCGGCTCCCGCAGCGCGCGCGGGTGCACTTCCCGCTCCGCGCGCTGGGCCTGCCGCCCGCCTTTCACTCCGCGGACGCGATCAACGCGGCGACTTCCACTCCACAAGGCCGCGGCCGCTGCGTTGCCAGCCTGAAGAAGCGCGCTGCAGCGGACCCCGAGGCGGCGCAGGAGGCCTTGGAGGCCATCCCCGAGAGGCACAGGGCGGAGAGATTGACACGGAGCCGCGTCGCGCGCGTCAAGCCCGCGCGCGTGCTGACGCGGCGGCGGCTGAGGCGGCCGCTTGGGGCCTTCGCCAGCGCCTGCGCGCGCCGCCCGCTGCCGAGGAGAAGGAGGTCTACGAGGAGCGGGTCGCCGAGGACCGGGCCCGGGTCCGCCGCAAGTTCTTCCCGGCGCGGGAGCGGCTGGTGAAGCACAGCGGCTGGAGGTGGAAGAACGACTTGCCCGAGGCGGTTGCCGCTGACGTGGCTCCCAACGACACGGGGCTGCCAAAGGCCGGATCCGACTTGGCCGCAGCTTTGGAGGCCTGGTGCAAGCTCGGCTCCTGGGCGGTCTGCGCGGCTTGCGGCAGCTTGGAGCCCCGCCACCTCAAGGAGATTGACTTGCGGAGAGCTGCCTCGCAAACCATCCCGCGCTGCGGCGGCTGCCGAGCGGAAGGCCCGGACTCTGTGCACTGCGTCGAAAAGACGCCTCGTTCACTGCGTGGCCTGACAAAGGAGGCGGTCGCGGCTCTGCGGCTTTTGGAAGTGGACTGCGGCGTCTACCTGCGGCCGGACCACGGCTACCGCGTCCACACGGCCCTGGTTCGCCTGCTCTGGGTCGAGGAGCCGGTCGAGGCACGGATTGCGGCCTTGCCCCTGCGTGCCGATCGGCGGCAAGCCCGCACGGCCTTCTCCTTCTTGGCCAAGAGCGAGGACTCTGAGTACGGCAATTTCTTGGCCAAGCGCCGCGACTTCCTGAGGCAGAACCCCGAGGCCGACGTGGCCGCGCGGCGCCGGCCGCTCCAGTGCATGGAGGCGCCCGGCGTCGAGTGCGCCATCTGGCCTGATCTTTATAACCGGACTCCGACCTCTGCGAGACGGTCGCCCGGGCGACCGACGAGCGCCGCCTGCGGCGTCAAGGCCTCCTGCCGGCGGACCCCGAGGAGGAGTCGGGCGACGAAGCCGCGGAGGAGCTGGCGGGCGCGGGCCGGAAGAGCATCCGACGCAGCTTTGGCAAGAAGATCCTGGGGCCGATCCTCGACTATGCCGGGGAGTTTGAGCTGCTCCAGTTCGTCCACGACCTGGCCCTGTGGACGGATGTCGGGAGCAAGCGCTGCGGCCTGAGCGGCGTCCCGCTCCGAGTGGCAATGAAGGGCGCGCCGTTCGCCCCCGCCTACTGGCGAGTCCGTCACGCAGCTGTGCTGGACCTGCAGCGCCAGTGCGGGTACCCGGTCTTGTTCAAGACCTGGGCGCCCTACGAGTGGAGCGCGCCCTACCACCGCGCGCTGCTCGAGCACATGGCCGAGCTGCTGCGGTCCAGGCAGCATTTGCCGGGCCCTGAAAGCTTGCATCTCGCCCACGTGATGACCGAGCTCCTGCGAGAGTGGGTGGTTGGCGGCGCCCGGAAGTTCGGCGACCGCAGTGCCCTGTGGCGCCAGTCCCAGCTCCAGGCCGGGGCGCCTGAGGGCGAGCGCGTCAAGCTGAACTTCGCGGCCAGGCTGGAGTTCCAAGATGGCAAGAGGCGTCAGGCGTCCCAGGCCTACCACGGCCGAGGCGCCGTTCATCTTCACGCCTTGATCTTCGCGCAGGACGCGGGGTGCCTGCAGCTACACAAGAAGCTCTCGGCGACGGCGCCTCCCGAGGGCCACCCGCTGCGGGGCTACGTCCTTGACCAGTTGAGCTACACGGGCAGCGGCTGGCCGACGCACAGCGGGCCCAGCTGCTGGGACGCCGCGAGCGGGGCCGTCCAGCTCCACCGCCTACAACGAGACGGAGCTGGAGGTGCTGCGGCGCCACGTGGACAACCTTGCCCCGCAGGTGGACGCCGTCCGTGGCCGCGGCCTGCTGCTGCGCTACGTGGCGGCCTACGCCCCGAAGATGAACGACAACTTCTCGGAGGAGCTGCTGGCGGAGACGAGCGGCGGCGGCTACGGGGCGGCGCTGCGCGTGCTCTCCTCCTACCGGCCCAGCGAGCCGGAGATGTGGCTCAACCTGTTTGGCAAAAAGTTCCCGCAGTTTGCCCCCCTGGCGGCTCCATGGCGCCCATCGTGGCCCCCTGGCCGGGGATGGATCCGATGTGGAGCGCTACGAGTCTTCGGGCTGGCGAGGGCCCGACATGACGCTGTTGGAGTTCCTGCGGAAGTCCAACGCCCAGGGCGACGTCGTGGAATGGGTCCGGAAGAACCACGCGGCGGCGGGCGCGGCCGAGTCCGTTGAGGCGTTCGCGCGGGCCTGCCCGGTCTTCGGGGAAAAGGTCGTCGCCGCGGAGATGGTCAGCCCGTTCAACGACAAATACTACGGGCAATGGCTCCTGCTGCAGCGGCCCTTCCGCAAGGCCGCGGAACTCGTCCCGGCGGCGGTGCGCGAGGCGGCGCCCGCCCGCTTCCAGTTCTTCGCTTCTGCCTTGCAGGTCGCCCCGGACTACTGGGGCGACGAGCAGCGCGTCCGGGCGGACTTGGAGCTGGCGGCCCACGGCGACGCCTACATCGCCAACGTGCTCGCGCTGGTCAGCGCCCAGCGGGCCATTGTTGACCAGTCTCTCTCCGGCGAGCTGACCGCCGCCGACGAGGTTCCGGAGCCGCAGTTCGGGCGACCCCCTGTTGGACCGCGGGGTGAAGGAGAGCCCGAGCGGCCGGCCTCGAGCAGGCGGCGCTGAAGCGGCTGAGTCTCCTGCTAGACTTCCAAAACGCTCGCGACGGCAACGCGGCGGAGCGGCTGGAGACGCAGATCGCCGAGGAGAACAGCCCGCTGTGCTGCATGGGCGAGCCTGGCACTGGCAAGACTTTTGTGGCCGACTACTTGATCCGCTGGGCCGTCGCCCAGGGCCTGCGGGTGCTCTACGCGCTGCCGACCGGCCAGCTGGCGTGTCGGATGCGACAGCGCCATCCGACCATCGCCGTTGACACCTGCGCGGGCGCCTTTCTGTTCCATCGCCCGGCCGCCGAGGCGATCGCGATCCTGATGGACTATGACGTCGTGGTCATCGACGAGGTCTTGCAGCTGAGCGCGGGCGAGTTCGGTCGGCTGCACGAGATGTTCCTGGCCGCAAACAAGCAACTCCTGCTTCTGATGATGGGCGACGACTGGCAGCTGCCCTCCATCCACCCAGTCCGCGCGGACGAGCATCCGCAGTGGCGGTTTCTCCAGGTGATCACTCTGACCGAGGTCCGCCGCTGCACTGATCCAGAACTGGCCTCCAAGTTGCAGGCCTTGCGGCGGTCTAAGCCCATGGGCGCGGACGGCCAGCGCCTTGTCAACCGGATCTGCCGCAGGCACAAGGCCTGGAGCGGCCACCACGAGCCGACGGCCGAGGACGTCGAGAGCGTGCTGGAGCGGACGGAGAACAAGACGACCTTCGTGACGTGCTCGCGGCGCGGGGCCGCCGTCATCAACGGCTTCGCCTTGCAGGTCCTCTTCGAGAACCAGGGCGCCCCCTCCCTGGGCGCGCTGCCCGGCGCCTATGAGGACAACCCGGAGAACTATGACAACCGGGGGGCCTTGCGGCAAGATCGAGCCCCGGCGCCGCAGAAGGTGGTGCTCTACGCGGGCCTCCGCATCGTCTTGACGCGCAACCGGGACAAGCCCAACCACTTTGTGAACGGCATGTCCGCGACGGTGGAGGCCTTCGACGAGCGGGCTGGCTGTCTCCGCGTCCTCACGGAGACGGGCAAGCGCCTGGCGGTATATCGCTACACCGACACGGACGTCCCGCCTGGCCGGTCAGTGTACTACCCCGTCCGGGTCGGGTACGCCGGAACGATTCACAAGTTCCAAGGCGCGGAGCTGGCCCACATCACTATCTGGTTGGACCGACCTTTTTGCAAAGCGGCCGGCTATGTGGCGCTCTCCCGAGTTGCCCGCGATGATGATTATTTAATC